ATCTATCACATCTATCACATCTATCAGTATCTGATCCACGTCACCTCCTGGTGAACGTGAACGAGACTTCCAATGATGATGAGAAACAGATTCTCAGTGAACTAGAGACACGAGTTCTGCCTCCACAGCACAAAGAACAAGAAGAGTACGAAGCATAAAACATGAGATATGTGAGCAACAATAGAGAACTTATCGGATATAGTTAACACTCATCAGGCTGCTCTCATCATCATCATAGTTGCAAAAAGCCACGAAGAAATAAAGTATTTCGTAGATATCCCACCAAATGATTTCATATGTGATCCTCGTAATCATGAACCAGGAAGTAAAAAGAGCGCTGAAGCACACAGAGATCTCTCTGCCTCGTTCCTCGTGTTATTCATCACCTAGCTTTTATACTGCAGTAGTTATTTTAACCGGAACCAGAACCTTTAACCTTTAAGTTGACTGAGGATGGAAGTTTATTGTGAAAAGACGAGCATGTGACGAGTAGAAACGTAAACGTGTGGCTGGACTTTAGCAGGAAAACGCACCGAGAATGTGTAACTTTTCATAAGATATCATACGAACCGTTGTGTGACGACACGCTGCACTAATGAATCAGTAGAAGAAAAAGTATTCAGAGCCTTTACTCTGATCAACGCAGCAAGACCACAAATTAAAAATGTTCCACGGCCTGTATTCAAACGGTTACTGAAGTTAATGTACTTTAAAGTACTTTAATGATACAGCAGTCTGGCACCAGTAGTGTTGAGTTACTACTCTCTAGAATACGGAATTATTATTATTACTGATGCATTAACATGAAGGCATTGTTTTATCTGGAAATCATTCAAACTATTTCATATAATGTTACATTCAATTTAAAATAATGTATAATGTCCTATAAGCTGATGAAACAGTTTGTATCTAAAATATTAATATAGTTTTAAAGTCTATGTGTAATATCTCCCTCTGAAGTGGAGTAAAGTATTACAGCATGAATTCAAAGTAGTACAATAAAGTAACAGTACTTGAGTAAAAGTATTTAGTTACTTAAAGAACAAAGTGTTGATTCAAACGCCCACCACGAACATTCATTACCAGTAAAGTCTCTTTGATAAAAATATCTCAACATAATAATCTTACATCAGGAATGAAATAAAGTTGATTCAGATAAATGAGGTGAAGTTAAAGTCAGAGTTTGTTTCTACCGGCACACAGGAAGTGATGTCATCCTGAGACGCCAATAAAAACTGGATGAAAGAGGTAATAAATGTGAGTTATATAGTTGTTCATGCAACCTTGGAAATTAAAGATTCTGTGACTTCCTCCTGACCTCAGATCTGTTAACAAGAGGCAACCTCCAGTGAACCCGATGCTTCACGTGTTAAAGCTGCATTCTCTCTAGTGTCCACCAGGGGGCGACTCCTCTGGTTGTATAGAAGTCTATGAGAAAATGACTCTACTTCTCTCTTGATTTATTACCTCAGTAAACATTGTAAACATGAGTTTATGGTCTCAGTCTCTAGTTTCAAGTCTTCTTCAATACAGCATGATGTTCATTTAGTACATTATGGTCCATTTAGAGTCAAACAGACCATAAAGCAGGGGATGCTTTAGGGCGGGGCTACTGTGATTGACAGGTCTCTACCAGAGACATATACGGAAGATTTATTTGTCTTCATTGCAGCTCTAATCTAACGTCAACTAATATTTGATTAATTGTGCAAACTTACGACAGTCGTCAAAGGATTTCATGCGTTCTGCTTATGATTCAACTTAAATATTATTCATGATCATATTGTTATAATTAAAAGAAATATAAATGTTTTATTTTCCACACGTGCACAGTGAAATGCATAATCAATAACATTATTAAGAATTAGAATAAAGAGATATTTAAATGATTAAAACTATAAATATTCAGTATGTAATAAAGTATTTAAATACTGTAATTCTTCCAGCATATAAAACATGTAAATAACATCATAACATTTGCACACGTCTGCTTGTAAAACATGTAAATGTTGAGGACAGAAAGTCTCATTTTAAATTCTTTATCACGTCTGCAAGCTCAGAAATTATTCATCGTGAATTTCTGACTTTTCAAACATTCATTTCCTCACATTAAAGCAGAGACACTGCAGCTAATGGTATCTCCAGTAGACGCCTCATCCTCACTATAGACCGGGTTATATATTCTGGTCATGATGGTGTTTACTGGAACGGTGAGTGAACAAAGTTCATTTGAGGGAGAAAATGCAAATAAACCGGATTAATAAATTCAAATGGATTTAAAACGACTCGCTTTAAAGAGCATCTTTAAAACAATGAAGAGGGTTTGTTCTGGTTTTGACGTCTTGAAATGTCTCGTTTTGTCCGAGCAAAACTCAAAAACCCCGAAAAAAATCTGACTGTAGGATCGGATAAGACGAGAGAAAAACAGCAAATCCTCACAAGTGACGAGCTGGAAACTCTAAAAATGACAACACGTCATAAACACTGAACAGCTTTTACAAAGAAAAAGCTTGTTTTCTGTCTTTCTACAGATAAAGAAACAACTCGAGCTGTTCTTCACAACACAGAGACTCAACGTCTCATCATTTACATCAGTTACATATTCAAACGTATAATGCTGCTGAAACAGCTGCTGTGCTGTGAAACCTGAAGGCAACATATACGATAAGAGCAGAAAGAGATGTGATGACAAATAAACTAATATTTATATTTATTGCAGGTTAATAAACCGTCACTTTACCTCAAAGAGAAAAACGTCTCGGAAATGTAAAGCTTTTAAAGAAAATGTAATATAGTCAATATAGCCGTGTAGTCCGAGTTTAATTATTATATTTTTACGTCGTTTTTTGTGCATCAGTCTCTTCAGCTTCTCTCCATTTTCATATTTTTTTGCACTTTAAATTGCATTTAAAAAGGTAATTTAAAAATAAACTTGATTAAATGATTGATTAATTAAACATTGATATAAAATATCAACTGTAAAAAGTTTGACATACACGACGTCATCGGTCAAAGACATGCATTGAAGTGTCTTCGCAGTGAGTCGGGTGTACTGTCCCTTTAAGAGAAAACCCTTTAAAAGCTCCTGATGGGAACAAACTGAGTTCAGTTCAGAAGTGGAGCTGCAGCAGCTGTTAGTTAGAGAGTCTGAGAGGAGACACTTCCACACAGTGTGTGTGTGTGTGTGTGTGTGTGTGTGTGTGTGTGTGTGTGTGTGTGTGTGTGTGTGTGGACAGACAAACAGCTGATTGTTGGAGAGGCATCAGTGGTCACGTGATGTGTTCAGGGACCCTGAGGGCAGATTGACAATAGCAGAGCGACAGGCTGTCCTTCAACCCTACTGTACGGGTCTCCAATTAATATACATTTATATGTATATAAGGTCATTAAATCCGAAAAAAGTGCAAGCATCTCAACTGTGGGGATCTGCCGCTTTTCTTCGTCTTCTATAATAATAAACTGAATATCTTCAGGTTGTTCATTTTGTAGCATTTTCAAAAGTTTAAATCGATAAAATGATCTTCAGTTTAGTTAATATGAATTACTTCTCTTTCTGTTATACCTCCAACACATCTGATTGTTTATTTGCTTTGTTTTGAAAGGTGCTGAATAATAATAATAATTATTATTATTATTATTATTGGTCATTATATTTTTATATTATTGTAATTAATGACTTTATTTCCTCCTGAAATGTTTTAAAGTGGTTCAACAATTGAAGAACTTTGTAACTCTTTGTATAAATAAAGTTTATAATGATGATAATAAACATAACGTCACGTTTTCCCCTTTTGAAGGATGACATTCTTCCTCCTCCTCTTCCTCCTCTTCCTCTACTGCGTCGTGATATTTCAGATTATGGCAAAGTGGGCGAAGAGACACAGAGACAAACCCGAATGCGAGACGATCTTCGGCTGAACCCATCAGACGACGGCAGCTATGCGGGCGGAGACAACGAGAGCTGTGATTGGTCGGAGTCACACACACGCAACAAAGACAGAGCACCTGCAGACCGGAGAGTCTTTTCGTGCGGTAAACAAAGGCTGGTCTGAGATCAAACAAAGAGCGATGATGTTCTCTTTTTTAAATGTCAGAACTCTTATTATGAATATTACCCAGCATGCCACACCCACAGCAAGGCCTCGCCACAACAGGGTGTGTTCAGGGACCGCAGGATTAGCAGGTGATTCCGATCAATGAGGCAGAAACACACACAGGAGGCAAATATGCTCACGATTATTGAATGTTTTTGCACCAAAAGAAAGTTTTAAATGTTGTTTTTCATTATTTAATTCCACTGTTCAACAAGTACCGTCATCTTTGATGGAAAACGTAATTTTTCAACTGTAAAATCATCTTTTTGCCAAAAGAAATCTTAGTTTTTAATAACTAAATCTGATAGGATCTTTTGCTAAAAAATGGAAATAAGAACATGAACTTTTCTTTTTCAGCCTCAAAGATCAGACGATCACGTTTCTGATGATTTCAGCAAAGCTGACAGGAATTCGCTGAAGTTTTACAAAAACTCCCACAAACGGTTTAAAGATTGACGAGAGTCATCCTCCTCAAGGCGAAGTCTAATGCCAATAAAGAGTCACGAGCAGCTGAAAGGTTGAACATTACACACAGCGCTGGTACATTAGAGAGTCTCACACACACGACCTCCAGCACTGGTACATTAGAGAGTCACACACACA